GGGTTTCTTCTCAGAGAGAGAGAGAGAGAGAGAGAGAGAGAGAGAGAGAGAGAGAGAGAGAGAGAGAGAGAGAGAGAGAGAGAGAGAGAGAGAGAGAGAGAGAGAGAGAGAGAGAGAGAGAGAGAGAGAGAGAGAGAGAGAGAGAGAGAGAGAGAGAGAGAGAGAGAGAGAGAGAGAGAGAGAGAGAGAGAGAGAGAGAGAGAGAGAGAGAGAGAGAGAGAGAGAGAGAGAGAGAGAGAGAGAGAGAGAGAGAGAGAGAGAGAGAGAGAGAGAGAGAGAGAGAGAGAGAGAGAGAGAGAGAGAGAGAGAGAGAGAGAGAGAGAGAGAGAGAGAGAGAGAGAGAGAGAGAGAGAGAGAGAGAGAGAGAGAGAGAGAGAGAGAGAGAGAGAGAGAGAGAGAGAGAGAGAGAGAGAGAGAGAGAGAGAGAGAGAGAGAGAGAGAGAGAGAGAGAGAGAGAGAGAGAGAGAGAGAGAGAGAGAGAGAGAGAGAGAGAGAGAGAGAGAGAGAGAGAGAGAGAGAGAGAGAGAGAGAGAGAGAGAGAGAGAGAGAGAGAGAGAGAGAGAGAGAGAGAGAGAGAGAGAGAGAGAGAGAGAGAGAGAGAGAGAGAGAGAGAGAGAGAGAGAGAGAGAGAGAGAGAGAGAGAGTGAACCGGGAAAGTGAAAGAGAATTCATCAAAGAGAGTCAGGAAGGAAGAAGGAAGCTGAGTACTTAGTGAAGTTCCAACAGTGTTCTCCCCCAGGCCCTGGGAGGTGGGACTAAAGTTCCCATTTGGCAGATAAGGACACAGACCTTCTGGGAGGTTAAACCTCTTGCCCTCAGGCCATAAGCTGTAAAGATAAGAAATCAAAGTTGGACTTTTCCATTCCATTCCCTCTGTCCACACTCATTTAAGTGATGTCATTTATGGGGTTGGTTGGTTAGTTACCTAGTCATCCCCAGCCCCCCAACCCAGTACAGTCTTGCTAGGTAGCCCCGGCTGGTCTGGAAGTCTCAGTGTCCCAGGTGTAGGATTACAAGTGTGCACCCGCCACCGCTCCGGGCTTCCCTTCTCATTTGGATCTGACATCTGCTGTGTGGCTCTCCCCGGGCCTCCAAGCTTCTTTGAGCTGTCCCTGTTACCACTGTAGCTGGTCTTGCCCTTTCTGTTTCCTCCTGCTCCCTGCACCTTCCACCCCTCCCCTCCCTCCATCAGACAAGTTTTTCCCAGTTTGACTGTCTTCCAGACTCTCACACGGAAGGAAGCTCTTTCCTCCTCCAGTCTTTAATCCTCTCCCAGAGGCAGGTGGGTCACTGTGAGTTCGAGGCCAGCCTGGTCTGTGGAGCGAGACCCAGTCTCAACACATGGAGCAGGAGTCAAACCAACAGAAACCACAGACTGTATTGTCCGTGGACCGGTGGGGATGGAGCGGATTAAAGCACACTCAAGCAAGCAAGAAGAGGTGGGAACTGGGGAGCCTCCAGCATCCTGCCTCCCCCACCTTGTCCCAGCTGCCTGGAGTCCAGGCAAAGGTGAAGGGCATGATACTCTACAGACTACTGCTGTGCAGTGAGCATGTATTTTGTGGGCCTAGTATTTACATCTTGTCCTTTGAAGGCTGCTTGGGAAAAGCAACAGTTCTGGAAGGAGGCACCAAACATATTGTCTTCTCTTCTCCAGCCAAGAGAAATTTTAATCACCCTGTAGAGTAATGGGCTCAGAATAGCATAATAGAAACAGTGCTTAAAATACTTTCTTGGGTGGATAAACACAGCATGGGGAGAAAGGAAAAAAACAAAACAAAACTGGGAGACTGTCTCATCCTTTACACCAGCTTGTACAACCAGAGGAAAGAGAAGCTCCTTGCCTAGCTGAGGAGGAATGATAAATAATGAGGGTGCATGCATTTTAAAACGACCTCCCCCTCCTGAAGGGGGAGCATCCATCCTGAGAGTACCCCAGCTGGCCACTCCCCATTTTGAAACTATCACAAAGTCAAGAGAAGCATGTCTGATGTGACTAACTTCTAGGTTTTTGGATAGGGTCTTTCTTTTTCCTTTTCCCTCCTTCCCTCCCTCTCTCTCTCTTTCTTTCTTGTTTTTTTGAGACAGGGTTTCTCCATGTAGTCCTTGCTGTCCTGGAACTCCATCTGTAGACCAGGTTGTCCTTGAATTCACTGAGATCCTCGTGCCTCTACCTCCTGAGCACTGGGATTAAAGGTATATGCCACCACCACCCTGCTATAGGGTCTTTCTTTAGCAATCTTTATCTGAGGCAGGGTCTCACTCTGTATCTCTATAGTCCTGGTGTCCTGGAACTCACTCTGTAGACCCACTTTGCCTGGAACTCACACAGATCCTCCTGCCCTCTGCCTCCCAAGCATTGGGATTACAGTTGTGAACCACCATACTCCTATTACTTTTATTTTAAGACAGGGATTTGCTAAATTGTCCAGGCTGACTTTGAACTTGAAACTTTCCTGTTTCACACCCCCCACAATGTAGCTGGGAATATAGGTCTGTGTCACCACGCTTGGCAATTCCCCACCCCCTTTCTCCTTCTCTTCATCTCCAGTGTCTTTTTGTGTAGCCCAGGCTGGGCAGAAATGCATGACCTTTCCACCTTTGTCTCCCAAGTGCTGAGATTACAGGCATGTGCCACCATGCCTGCTTTTCAGATAGCTTTACAGGTAGAGCCCTGAAGGCAGAGGTGAATGAATTTGCTGGGATAGGGTATGACTTGTGAATATGCAAGCTTGCAAGCTCATAAAATGGGCGTAAGTTGATTTCAGTTAAAGACAAACCCAGAAAGAAAATGCCAAAGCTCAGAATTATGACATTCAAGATGCAGGCCGGAGCCAGCAAGATGGCTCACAGGGGAAAGAGACTTGCTAACAAGCTTGATGACCTGAGTTCGATTCCTAAAACCTCCACGAGTATGCTATGGTGTATCCCCCTCCAAAATAAAGACATTCAATATTTTTTTTTTAATTCAAAATGTGGAGGCTGGAGATGTGTTCCAGTTGGTTGAGTGTTTCGAATACACAAAGCCTTTGGTTTGATTCCTGGCACCACAGAAACCAGCTATTGTGGCACAGGCCTTTAATCCAAGCACCAGGAGGCAGAGACAGACAGATCTCTATGAGTTTGAGGTCAGCCTGGTCTACAGAGTGACTTCCAGGACAGTCAGTGCTATATAGTGAAACACTGTTTTAGAAACAAGAACAACAAAGCCAAAAAAACAAACAGAAAAAAAAAAAGCAAGCTGTGTTCTCTTGGCAAAGTTATTTGCTGTCTTTGAGTTTTATGTACTACTGTCTGTCTATAATGTGAGAGGGAGGGAGACACTTCCTTCAAGTGAGGTGGTCCTTTCCTTGTTCAGAACACTGAACCCCACTGGCCTAGAAATCAGAATTTTTCAAGAAGCACTAAGGAGTAGAGAGAAAGGAAGAAGGCCTGAATCTCTCCTCTGTGGGAGATTCTATCCTGACAACTATGATGGACATTTCTTTCATTTTTTCTCTGTTTTTTGCAATATTGGCCATTCCAAGAGGTCCAATTATCTGAACTCTTCAGTTAGGGCCAGTGAAACTCAGACTGTTCAAGTAGCTTGCCCAAGGTCACACAGCACTGGACCCAGCTCTCAGGGCACATCCGCTGCTATTTTGACAACTGAAGGAGGTGCAGAAGAACCAGACAATTAAAAAAGATAAAGTGATTTCTCCAAAAGCAAGAGTCAAGGCCAGAAATCCAATCCACTCTCTTCTTTTTTCTTTTAATACCAAATTCCAGGATCTTCTCAGTTTGCCACAGGGCAGACAACTGAATATCCAAGCAGGATGTGAATGTGTCCCTTGTCACCTTCAGGTCCTAAGTGCAGACACATAGCCTGGGGTACAGTTGGGTGTGGTGGCACATGCCTACAATTCCAGCGCCAGAGAGTCTCAGGCTGGAGAATACTGAGTTTGAAGTGAATTTGGGCTAGGTAGAGAAATTCTATCTCAAAGTCAAGCCAAAACAAACAAAAATTAAACTAAGCCCCAGATGCAAGAAGCTTTGGGCCGGTGGGATTCTCAATCTTGGGATCGCCAAGGACTCTTGGTAGCTGTGGTTTCCAATCTTCGACTTGGACTGCATTCTTGGGCTTCCAGTAATCAGCTAGAGGACCTCCTGCTCCATGGAATATGTGACCTTCAAAATGACCTATGCCTTCAGCAACCACCTTTCTGGCGCTTGCCCCTCACACACAGGCTTCTTTAGTTGACCATGAACTAACAGCATCCGTGTCATGAACATATCAACCTGCTCACCTGGGTAAACATACCACTGTCCACTGTGGAGTCTTGGTGATGTGACCCCACATGCTGAAAATGATGGCTGGGAGGTGGGTGAGAAAGGTCAGGAGTTCAAGGTCATCTTGGGCTCCATGAGACCTTCTCTAAAAAGAAAGGAGGGAGGGAAGGAGGGAGGGAGGGAGGGAGGAAAGAAAAGAGGGAGGGAGGGAGAAAGGAAAGAAGGAAGGAAGGAAGGAAGGAAGGAAGGAAGGAAGGAAAGAAGGAAAAGCAAAGCAAGGTGGGAATGTGGCTATGTCCCCGTTGGCAGCGGCCTTGCCTAGCAAGAGCAAAGCTCCCTCAGCACTGCGTTGTGGTGCGCACCTGGATTCCCAGCATTTGAAAGTGGAAGCAGGAGACAGAAATTCAAGGTCATCCTTGGTATAGATTTAACGCCACCCTGGACTATTGGAGCAGGAGCCTGGCAAGATGGCGTTTGCTACCACGTCAGACTATGTGAATTCTCAGGACCCACATGGTAGGAGAGAATCAATTCCTGCAAATTGTTCTCTGACTTCTACCCAGGCATACACACGGGCACATGCACATCACACATGCATACCATATACACACTCAGACACACCACACCACACAGGCACACACCCTACATACAGAAACACACACACTCACACACACACACACACAAATTAAACACAACCATGAGCTGTTGCTGTCCATGCTCTTGTCTTCCAGATGTCATCCTAGGCAAAGACATACTGGGAGAGAGCAAGCAAGCCAGTCCTTGTCTTGGTAAGTAGGGGTGAGGCATTGTACCCAAGGAAAATGGGGGTGAGATGACAGAGGGCCTGGTGTTCACAAAGAGGCGATTTTGGAGCCAAGGCCTGAAGATGACAGGGAGTTGGTAACTATCTTAGGAGAAGGAAGCAGCATAGGTCCTGAGGTTCAAACATACTCCATGCATTTGAAGAGCCCAATGGGAGCCCTTGGCTGAAAGAGTGACGGAAGGAACACAGGGAGATGAAGACAGAGACTTAGGGGTGTGTGAACCCAGGACTGTAGAGTTCCTACAGTTATTCTAAGAATTGTGGCTTTGCATCCAGATGAAAGGGCAATCCCAGCCTGAGGCAGAAGAATCGAAATCTGAAGGCCTGTGGAGTGAGTTCAAGGCTGACTTTGAAAACTTACTGAGATCCTGTCTTATAATAAAAAGTATGTGTCTGTGTCTGTGATAATGGCATTTGAGAGGCTGAGGCAGGAGGATGGCTGTGAGCCTCAGGCTAGCCTGGGCTATATATAGCAAGAAATTGTAAAACAAAAATCCTGAAAGAGGGCTGGGGATTTAGCTCAGTGGTAGTGAGAGCCTTTGCCTAGCTTAAATTAGGCACTACAAAACAAACAGGACAAAAAAAACAAAAAAAAAAAAAAACAAAACAAAAAAAACCTCACAAAACAAAACCAAGAAATAAAACTGGCAAAATAACAGGGAAAGTGTTTTTATTTATTTTTATTTTTATTTTTTGAGATAGGCTTTTTCTGTGTAACCCTGGCTGTTCTGGAACTCACCCCAAACTCACATTAGCTCTCCTGCCTCCACCTCTCAGGTGCTGTGATTTAAAGGTATGTGCCACCATGACTGGCCTTTGGAAAGCATTTTAAAGGAGTGACCTGTTTTTATGATCTACTCATCCTAAGACTGTATTATAAAACTTCCTGTAACCCCATCTACTTGGGAGGCAGAAGGATATCACGAATTTGAGGTCAGCCCTGGCAACCTAACAAATCTCTTTATTATGTCCGAAACTACCACAGTAATGACCCCCTCTTCCATCCTCAAATTCAAAAAACCTGAAGGGTGGTGGTGGAGCACACCTTTAATTCCAGCACTTAGGTGTCTGTGAGTCTGAGGCCAGCCTGGTCTACCTAATGAGTTCCAGGGCAGCCAGGACTGTTACATATAGAAACCCTGTCTCTGAAAACCAAACCAAACCAACAAAAGTGAAGGGGCTGGAGCGATGGCTCAGGGTTTAAGAGCACTTTGTACTCTTCCCAGGGATACAGGTTCCTAGCACCCACATGGCAGCTCACAACTGTCTCTAACTCCAGTTCCAAGGGATCTAATGCTCTTTTCTGGCTTCTGAGGCACACATGTGGTGCATAAACATACACACGCAGACAAAATGCTCACACACATAAAATTAAATAAATCTTCAAAAAAATTGAAAAAGTGTTGCCCGGGCAAGACTGGGCCTGTTACTTGTCAGTCATGGACTGAGGAACAGTGAATGGGGCCTGGGCTCCTTGCTGAACTGTAGGTGACTGACTGATGAATGCAGTTATAGTCTTCAGCTGAGGACCCCCATGTGAACTCACTGGCCCCCAAGGAATAGTGCCAACCCCATGGCCACACACGCAAAACAATGAAACATAAACGTGGGAGAAGGATTGGCAAGAGGGGGGTGACAAAGGGTAGGAGAGTGATTGTGGCCAGAATCTAGAATTATATACATGAATATAATTATACATCATTATATACATGGATAAATTATCAAGAAACAAAGTTAGTGAGTTCAAAGTGTATGTACTTGTATGTATGTGAGAAGATAAATTGTGGGTCAACCAGATGGCTCAGTGAGTAAAAGGTGCTTGTGCCCAAGCTTGATGTGCTGACTTGGATCCCCAGGACCCACAGGGTAGAAGGAGAGGGCCAACTCCAGCAGGTTGTCCTCTGATCTCCCCTTGTGTGCCAGTGGCACAAGCTACCTTTCCAATCAATAGAAGTTATAATAAAAAACAAAACAAGCAAATTGCACTGTGGCCACTCATTCATCCATAATGTAGATCCCTCACATTCTTTGTCAGCTGCATGTGGCTTTAATCACCCACGAATTTATCAGTTCAGTGTTTTCTTGCATTTCAGTCCGTTGGGAGAGTCTGCTTCCTCATTCCCCAGGACTACAGCGGTGTACATCACCAGCTAGAGTTCAAGGTTTGCTTGTTTTTGAGAGAAAATTTACACACAGTGAAGCGCTTTAAGCTTAAAGGCACCCTTCTCTAAATATTGACAAGTGCACACAGCGCTGTAGCTAGAGCCCTTATCAGGAGAGATAACATTCTCGCCTCCCTTGCCTCCCTTCCTCCTGCCCCTAAGCAACCACAGATGTCTGTCTGCCCATCCTGTCAGGTTTGCCTATTCTCAAACCTGGGCGGAAATGAAATCACAAGTAGCCCCGTGCTTTCACTTTGTTTCAGGGTCACCCAAGATAAAACTTGTATCTATGTTTTCTTTGCTTTATTACAGTGAAGTACTAGTTCTTTATGGACGAGACCCAAAGCGATAGAACCCAAGATTTGCATGCAAGCCGGGCAAGTGCTCTACCACAGAGCCACACCCCTCGCCCTGCCTTCTGCTTGGCTGCAATAATAAACCAGGTAGACTCTGGGTTGTGATTGTTTCAGAAAGAGATAAAGACAGAGGTGGGGTGTTTTGGTTCCTGCATTAAGAGCTTTGTGTGCATTATCTCCATCTTTAGGATTTAGAAAACTCCCTTCCCCTGGAGATAAACTGACACGGGCTTCAGGAAAAACAAGATTGTTAAGCCATTTGATTCCAAGTGCCTGCATATTTCACGTTTTGGTTCAATCTCTGCTGTTTCATATTGGCAAAGAGGCACCTTGGAACTGTGCTGTGTCTGCAGAGGTGTCCCAGAGGGTGTGGCAGGACTTCTCCTAGGAGTGGCCTACAATCTGAAACTCCAGATTAGAGATTAGCAGTGCTAAGCATCTTGTGACCCCAGCAGGACCACTGTCAGGTGGGACCTGCCGGAAATTTCTAATCATAGCAACTATTGGTTTCCGAACACAGTCTGGCTCCAGATTGCTCAATTTATGGCTTCCTTGTTTCCAATCAAATGATGTTGCTACCATCAAGTATGAGCTGTAAAAATGGGGCTTTGCCCTTCATAATCCAGGCTGGACTCTATCTGAATTGCTAAGTAGCCAGCCGGCACTGACCTTCAACTCCTGGTCCTGCCTCCACCTCTCAAGCACTGGGATTACAGTCATGAGTCACTACACCTAACTTTTTAATTTTTAGTATTTGATATGAGTGTTGCTATAAGGCTGGATGGTGGTGCACACCTTTAATCTCAACACTCTGGAGGCTGAGGCAGGCAGATCTCTGAGCTCCAGGCCAGCATGGTCTGCAGAGTGAGTTCCAGGACAGTCAAGGCTACACAGAGAAACCTTGTCTCAAAAACCAAGAAAAAAAAAAAGTCTTGCTGTGCAGCTCTAACAGAATTAGAATTACTTGCTGTGTAGCCCAGACGTGCCTTGAACTCACAGAAATTCTCCTGCCTCAGCCTCCCAATTGTTGGAATTATAGACATGTGCCACCACACCTACCTTGCTTTGAGTTTTTGTTTGTGATCTTTCTGGCCTAAGGTTAGGGAGCCACTCTCCCAGAGCTTGATGATCTGGGGGACAGTTGCCGAATTGAGAAAGGCTTATGAACACGTCACTTTAGTCTCAGATCTGTCCTAGACACATTGTGTATGCCACTCACACTTCCAGGCTATGTCCTCTCTCATTTTCTGGAGGTTGGCATTTAACTGATCAGGAAGGCAAGATGGAGAGACCCACCTTTTAAGGTCCCAGCATAGAGGGGTCCCATCCATCCACTCTGTCAGAAACCCAGGGTATCTCTAAGAGTCAGCTCTCTGTGGACAAAGTCTCCACAGACTGGGACAATAAGACAGACTCTTGAGGTCCAAGGAAGAAGAGACCCTTCATTCTTCTTCTTCTTCTTCTTCCTCTTCCTTTTCTTCTTCCTCTTCCTCCTCCTCTTCCTCCTCCTCCTCCTCCTCTTCTCCTTCTCCTTCTCCTTCTCCTTCTCCTTCTCCTTCTCCTTCTCCTTCTCCTTCTCCTTCTCCTTCTCCTTCTCCTTCTCCTTCTCCTTCTCCTTCTCCTTCTCCTTCTTCTTCTTCTTCTTCTTCTTCTTCTTCTTCTTCTTCGTAGTTTTTTTTTTTTTTTGAGACAGGGTTTCTTAAGACAGGGTTTCTCTGTATTGTTTTGGAGGCTGTCCTGTAACTCGATCTGTTCAACCAGGCTGGCCTTGAACTCACAGAGATCCACCTGCTTCTACCTCCCAAGTGTCGTTATTAAAGGCATGCACCACCACTGCCCAACGGGAGTCCTGAAAGAGTTTGTTATGTCTTCATAGTCTTTGGCCATATATCATTTTTTTTTTTTTTTGGTTTTTCGAGACAGGGTTTCTCTGTGGCTTTGGAGGCTGTCCTGGAACTAGCTCTTGTAGACCAGGCTGGCCTCGAACTCACAGAGATCCTCCTGCCTCTGCCTCCCGAGTGCTGGGATTAAAGGCGTGCGCCACCAACGCCCGGCCCATATATCATTATTTATTTTTATTTTTATTTTTTGCAATTGCTGGCTAATGTCAGTTGGACCACACACTGCTTCCAGAATTAAATGATGGCGTCACTTTGCCTGGGTGATCAGGAACCCTTGTCACTGAACATTGGCAAAAGGATGAGAAATGGGCTCTGCAAGGGACATCAACATGAGGTTAAAACTTCAGATTGGAACCTGATTAATAGAATAGCCCTACCCTTCCCCTCCCCTCCCTTCCCTTCCTTTCCCTTCTCTTCCCTTCCCCTCCCTTCCCTTTCCTCACATTTTCTAATAAGATAGCACGTTGTGCCTCAAAATCTCTATGTAGCCAAGGATGGCCTTGAACTCCTGGGATTACAGATGTGTGCCATCATATCTGGTTCTCCTAGGCCCCAATCAACAGACTGTGCTGCCTTCTGGGGCCTGTGGAGGTCATGGAAGGATTTATACTGGCCTTTCTGGGTTCAGGCCCGCCAAGATCTGACAGGATCAGAAGAAGAGTTCTTGCAGGAAAAGGGAGAGCAAAAGGGGACTGCAGAGCCAAACCTCACACAGCCAGATGCCTGGCAGGGTGAATTAAGAGGAAACAACTGGATCAAATCGGACAGCAACCAACACACAGGCTTTTGCATGGCCATTTTGTTTGCATGGATGTGCAGCGTAGTTCAAATTGTTAAAAACTACATTAGTTTATCTGCGAGCGCGAGTGTGTGTGTGTGTGTGTGTGTGTGTGTGCGCGTGCATGTTTGTGGGTCTGCATGTGCCACTGCAAATGTGGGCGTCAGAGGACAATCTGTGGGAGTCACTTCTCTCCTTCCACCACAGAGGTCTCAGGTCTCAAGCTCAGGTTGTCAGTCTTAGTGGCAAGCTCTTTCAACCCCTAAGCCTTCTAGCCACCAGCCCCTCCCAGAGCTTTTAACAGATGTGTTTTGCAACCAGTGCATGCAGTGCCCTTGGAGGCCAGAAGAGGGTGTGAGATCCCCGGAGTTACAGATGCATGTACTGCCATGTGAGTGCTGGGAATTGAAGTTGGGTCCTCTGTAAGTGAGTATATGCTCCTAACCACGGAGCCATCTCTTCAGACCCTGATTCTGTTTTGTTTGGATACACTGTCTTTGGTAGCCAAGGGTGACCTTGACTTCTGATCTTTCTGCCTCTTCCTTTTCAGTGCCGGAGATCAAGCCCCAAACATTCAACATCATGCCCTCCTTCCTCTCAGGAAGAACTACCTACAGTGGGTGTGTTTGAAACTGTCCAGCTGGGGGCACAGCTGGAAGAGACCAGCGGCTGTTTCTCCCAGCTGCAAATTAAAGGGTCAACACCTCAGGGGGAAAACAAACCACTGTCCAGGCAGCAGCTGGGGAAAGGGCCCCGGGGCTGGAAGGACTGAAAGTAAGCAGGAGACAGGATTGTTTTCATTGGTGTCTGCGCCTGCATTGACTCTTCCTTTCAGAGGTTAGAGCTGTGAACCAGGCAGGTGCAAGTGTAAGTGTGTGAGTGTGCATGAGTGTATGCATGTGCAAGCAGGTGTGTGTATGCGTGCATATGTGTCCGTACATGTATGCATGTGAGATTTCGTGCATGTGTGTCTGTACATGTGTGCATGTGAGAGTACGTGCCGGGCGTTGGTGGCGCACGCCTTTAATCCCAGCACTTGGGAGGAAGAGGCAGGCGGATTGCTGTGAGTTTGAGGCCAGCCTGGTCTTCAGTGAGAGTTCTAGGACAGCCCCCAAAACAATACAGAGAAACCCTGTCTCAAAAAGTCAAACCAAACCGACCAACCAATCAAACAAAAAACAAAAAGAAATGAAGAGATGTGTGTGTGTGTGTGTGTGTGTGTGTGTGTGTGAGAGAGAGAGAGAGAGAGAGAGAGAGAGAGAGAGAGAGAGAGAGAGAGAGAGAGAGAGAGAGAGAGATCAGGGACAGAGGTGACCTGGTATCACTCTTTGTCTGTCTGGCCTGTAGAGAATAGTGGAGTGTGGTGGTGCAGGCCTATAATCCAGTGCTTGGGAAGTGGAGGCAGAAGGATCAGGGATATAGCATCAGCCTTGGCTATAATAGTGGGCCAGGAGGCTAGCCTGGCCTACACCGGACTCTGTTTCAGTCCACCCCTCCAGAAAAGCAGGGATGGAGAGATGGCTAGTGCCATGCTGACTATGCTACCAGGAGGCCCCGTGTTCTGTCCCCGGAACCCACATTAAAGGTTGTCATGTGCTGTAATCTTTTCCTGTAGCATTGGGGTTAGCCTAGTCTAGTGGGAGAAAGGCCTGCCTCCAAAAACTCCTGAGAAATTACTGCTGACCTCTCCACACCTGCACATGTCTGGAACCCCCACCTTCCCCAACACGGAAATGTTACAGGGATGAGAAGAAAGAGTAATTTTTGGTGTTTGTTTTTCTGAGATGGAGTTTCTCTGAGTAACAGCTCGAGCTGTCCTGGAACTCCCTTTGTAGACCAGGCTGGCCTTGAACTCACAGAGATCTGCCTGCCTCTCCCTCCGAAGCACCAGGACTGAAGGCATGTGCCTCCATGCCTGACTGTTTTTTAGTTTTTAAGTACATTTCTTTATATTTTGCGTGCGTGCATCCTGAAGTAGTTTCGCTCTGCTCTCTCCCCAACTTGGATCCAGAAGATCTAACTTGGGTCAAGCCCCTTTACCCATGGAACCATTCCTCCCGCCCCTGGAGAAGACAGATTTTTAGTGTGCATTGTGCAGGTATCTGTGAAAATAGCAACTTAAGAATGAAAAAGGTGAGAGCGAGTTGAAAGAACGGGACCCTCATATGGTGCATAGAGTCCCTGGGTCCATTTGGAGCCGCTTGGCATGAACGGCAGCCTCGGCCACGCGCTGTCTCTCCTGCCTGTCCAGAAATAGTTTCCCGGAACCATGGTGTTTCCCCGCCAGCCAGCGGGGAGATAAAGCTGTGTCGCTTGTCTTGGCTGCCTCTCAGTTGACACCTCTGACAGGCCGCTTTGATCTCGGGTTATCAAGGCCTAACCCCGTGCCTAGCCTGCTCTGCCAGCACCCCCTCCCGGCTCGCTCGCTCGCTCGCTCAGGGGAAAAGGGCATTTCAGAAGGTCAGTTCGGGGAGGGACAGGCCTCTCCCTGTGCCCAGCTGGCCTTGAAGCATGGGTGCTGGATGCAGCAGGGTGCCCGATTTTACTCCGCAGCAGTGATGGGTGGGGGATGGGCAAGAGTTCACGGTGTGGGGTGGTGGTGGTCCTGGCTGAGAAATGAGCTGTCCAAGTTGTGCCTGTAGCTTGGAGGGTATGTCCTCATGGGGCCTGGGCCTTGATCACAGATAAAGAGTGGTGAAAACCAGAACTCCCCTGTTCTTGTCTCAAAACTGCTGCTGAGTCATTGGCCAGCCCCTGGTGAAAGCCTGCATGCCTTCTTCTACTTCAGACGGTTTCCACCCCTCATCTGGTAAAATATAGAGGATTTAATAGCTATGGATGCCTCTTCCAAACAAACCTTCATGTAGAGATCCAGCATGCAAGCTGGATGGAAGCAGAGAGGGGCCTGGCTGGAGAGAGGGCACCCAGGGGTTTGATGTATCAGTTCGTTCCTAGTCATGTATCATTATTATCACCCCTGTGTTTGAGACATTGTCTCAGTGCAGGCCAGACTCACCTCCAACCAACCAATCAGCCTCAGTCTCGTGTGTGCTGAAGGCCCCGCATACTTCACCACCCACCAGGCTCTGGTTCAGTAAGGTTAGTGTGATCTAGGTTCACTGTAGCAAAAGCTCACAGACTGGGTGATGAAGAATAATAAAGGTGTTGGGAGTGGGTGAGAAGGTTCAGCACCTGCCACCAAGTCTGAGGAGTTCCATCCCTGGGACCCGGTGTGGTAGAATGAGAAGACTGCCTCCCGTAGGTTGTCCGCAGATCTCCGCATGCACTAACTGACATACATACCCCTGCTCCACAAAAAATAAATGAAATGTAATAGGTCTTAAGAGAAGGAAAAGAACACAGCAGAGGTGCATAGCTATGCAGCTTTGGAGGCTGCAGTGTGAGGCGAAGGTGGGAGCAGGCTCTGAGGCTTTAGGGGAAGTCGGAACCTTGTTTGCATCTAGGGGCAGAGTGTCTTTTTCCACCTAGCGTTTATTTTTCTTTTATACAGTGTTTATCTGTGCATGTGTATGTGTACCACATGTGTGCAGTGCCCAAGAAGGCCAGCAGAAGGCATCAGATCTCTAAGAACTAGAGTTGAAGACTGTTGAGAGCCACTATGTGGGTGCTGGGAACTGTACCCAAGTCCTCTGAAAGAGCAGGCAGCTCTCTTAACTACTGAGCCATTTCTCCAGTTCCAGCTTCTGGGGATCTTTGAAGTCCTGTTTGGATGTAAAACTCTGCCACTTTCAGGAGGTACAACTTCGGGTCACCTTCCTTCTCCAAACTTCTACATCCTGATCTGTTAGAAGTAACTGAATGCTGGGCTGCAGAGATGGCTCAGAGGTTAAGAGCACTGGCTGATCTTTCAGAGGTCCTGAGTTTAATTTCTAGCACCCATATGGTGGCTCACAACCATCTATGATGAGATCTGGTGCCCTCTTCTGGTGTGCAGACATACACACAGGCAGAACACTAAGTATATAATAAATAAATAAATAAATAAATAAATAAATAAATACATCTTTTAAAAAGATGACTGAATGCCTGGACAGTGGTGGCTCACACACCTTTAATCCCAGCACTCGGGAGGCAGAGGCAGGTGGATCTCTGAGTTCAACTTCAGCCTGGTCTACAGAGTGAGTTCCAGGACAGCCAGGGCTACACAGAGAAACCCTGTCTCAAAACAGCAGCAGCAGCAGCAGCAGCAGCAACAACAACAAAATGACTGAATGCCTGGGCATGGTGACACATACGTTCATCCCAGCACTTGGGAGACAGAGTCAGGAGGATCTCTTTGATTCAGAAGGAACCTAGTCCTCATAGTGAGTTCCAGGACAGTCAAGACTACATAGAGAGATCGTGTCTCAGAAAACAAAAACAGTAGCAACAACAACAACAACAAAACTCCAGACCAAGCAAACAAACAGGGCTGGCTGGCAGCAAAACCCATAGACAAGATATAACTGTGGCCCGACTCACCTGGAGGGGCAGTTTGGGTCCTGGAAAAGGCCTGGCAACTGTATGCAAATGCATTTGCCTGGGTATATTTTGTGACCCTTTCATGGTGTTTGGGTTTCCCTAGGCAAACGCTGGGATGCTCACTTGCTTACATGTTATGGAAATGATGCTTTGGACCTGTGCCCATGTGGTGAGCAGATGAGCCTGGTCCAGTTGGTGTTGGTCTTGGTCTGTTTTGACGAAAGAAGAGCATCTCAGAGGTGGGCTGCTTCTGCATGGGAGATGCTTTCTTGGAGTTTATATCTGGCTACTCCAAGTGTGATTCAGGGACCCGCAGCATTGGCCAGGAAGCTTGGGTCCTGCTGCTCCAGGTTCTACTGGCATTACTGAGGGGTTGTAAATATGTGCTTTCATTTCTTTTCCCTTCCTTTTCTTCCTTTCTCTCCTTCCTTTGTTCCTCCCTTTCTTCATTCTTTTGTTCGTTCATTTGTCCTTTTGTTTGTTACTTCCTTCTGTTTTATGCGTATGGATTTTTCCCCCTGCATTTACTGCATGCATGTATATAATACTCATGAAGGCCAGAAGAGGGCATCAGGTCCCCCAGAACTGGAGTCACAGATGCTTGTGAGCTGTCCTGTGGGTGCTGAGAATAAAACCCAGGTCCTCTGCAAGAGCATCCGGTGCTCTTATCTGCTGAGCCATCTCTCCAGCCCCAAAGGGTACTTTCTTGAGAGTAAACCCTAATCAACGTGTGATATTTTCAGTCATGAGATGGCTGTGTTGATAGGATTCTGAAGCTTAGGGGGGAAAAAAAACCCATTGTCACTCCTTAGCCACGTCTGCTGTGGATAGAATCAGGGATAGGGTGGGGTGCTGGCTATTCCCGGGCTTTCTGAAATGTCTTTATAACTCTTTTATGAAAATGGAGATGAAGAACGATGGTCATGGTGAGATACACCTGCAATCCCAGCACTTGAGAGGCGGAGGAAAGGGGGTCAGAAGTTGAAGGTCATCTGAGGTTGCATAGTGAATTTGGGCTATATTGGATGCTGTTTTTTTTTTTTTTTTAAGAAGAGAGAAAGAGAAAGAGTTAGCAAGAGAAGAAGGAGAGGGAGGGACAGAGGGAGGAGAGTGTGGAGATGGATGGGGATGCGTTCCTCAGGGTGGAGAAGAACTGAAAGGCAAGTTCAGGGTCAGATAACACATCTCTGGAGTTCCATGTGTGTTCTTTTTTTGAGGGGCGTGGTTTCGAGACAGGGTTTCTCTGTGGTTTTGGAGGCTATCCTGGAACTCACTTTTTTTTTTTTTTTTTGAGACAGGGTTTCTCTGTGGCTTTGGCTTTGGAGGCTGTCCTGGAACTTGCTTGGTAGTCCAGGCTGGTCTCGAACTTACAGAGATCCGCCTGCCTCTGCCTCCTGAGTGCTGGGATTAAAGGCGTGTGCCACCAACGACCGGTGGAACTCGCTCTTATAGACCAGGCTGGTCTGGAATTCACAGAGATCCGCCTGCCTCTGCCTCCCAAGTGCTGGGACTAAAGGCATGAGCCACCACCACCCGGTCCATGTGTATTCTTGCCAGATTCAGTGGCACATTCCTGGGGACACTGTCTCAAAACCAGGACCAACAAAACCAACCAGACCCACCAAAACTGTGGCCTTTCTGAATATCTGAGATAAAGGACACCGGCCAAGCAGAAGAAGCCTGAAACCCAAGAGTTCAGTTTCAACTCAACTTTTTCCTTTTCCTTGGGACCACGGAGCACACAGGTCCTTTCTGTATGTTTTGCAGTAAGGTCTTGCTTTCTATGCAGCCCAGGCAGGACTTGAGCCTGAGACACACCTCTCTCTGTCTCCCCAGAACTGAGATCATAGGTGTACATTGTGACACTGCTACACACTAGGTTTTTAAAAAATTGTTTTAGAGTTTATAGTTCTCTCAGACATTCAGACTATGAAATGGTTCCTGTTGAAGAAGGGAGAAGATGAAGCAGAAAGTAGAATAAAAAATTGTTAGCAGCCCATGGATGAGCCAATCCTTTAACTCCTGAGGCATTCCAAGGAGTGGAGAGCTGGGCAAAATAAAATAAAATAGTGAACGTTCAGGAGGGACCTTGGTGGTGGTGGGTGATGGGAAATAAGCACCCGAGATCTCAATCCACGGATTTCCTCTCTCTTCTCCCGCAGACCTAGGCTGTGTATAAACTCTATGCAAATGTGTTTACTTTGTATTTTGTTTCTTTTGGAGTCACTCAGCTGTCAGGGCCTATATCAACATGTCAGTCGCTTGAACAAACAAGCGTTGCGAGTGGAAATATTTCAGATAAACAGACATGATGTTATGACATATCAACCCCAACCCAACGGGGGCGGGGGCAGAGACAGAGGAGAAGAGGGAGGGAAATAGAGCCACAGTAAGATCTGTTTTCCATGGCTGAGGCCCCGCAGGGTCAATTGTAAATAAAATGGAGTTTTGATTACTTGTGGTGTGTGTGTGTGTGTGTGTGTGTGTGTGTGTGTGTGTGTGTGTGTGTGTCTGTGTCTGTGTCTGTGTGTAGGGGTGGGGGTGCATGGTAGGGGGTTCTCCTGCTCCCTGGTGTTAATGTGTTTTGTCAGCTGAAGAGGCCTGCTTGGCAGGTACCCTGAGATTCTCCATGGTGTCCCTGTTGAGTCCCAAAGGGGAAATGAGGCCAGCAAAGAGAACACAAACCCACCAGATTAATTTAATTGGTGGTGTGCTGTGTGACAGCCAACTGCAAAGACCTCCTCCTCCTCCTCTTCTTCCTCTTCCTCCTCCTCCTCACTCCTTGCTTGGGCTCTTTATAAACTGCCTTTAGAAAAGGCATAAAGAGATGTTTGCATTCTGGGTGGGGACAATATGGGGAAGAAATGCTCTTTTTCTCGACAGGATTTCTCTGTATTGTTTTGAAGCCTGACCTGGAACTCGCTCTGTAGACCAGGCTGACCTCAAACTCACAGAGATCCACCTGCCTCTGCCTCCTGAGTGCTGGGATTAAAGGCGTGCGCCACCACCGTCTGGCAGAGCTAATTCTCTTATGTGATGTATTTTAACTTCATTTAATGTGTGTGTGTGTGTGTGTATGTGTGTGTGTGTGTTTTGAATGTGGAGGTCAGAGAACAACTTGAGGGTGGTTGATTCCCTTCCCATCATGTGGGTCCTGGGGACCCAACCTGGGTTGTTTGGTGGCAGGTGGCTTTACCCACTGAGCCTTCTCTCCAGCCTGATTACTCTGAAATTTTCAGACAGATTCTTAATGTGTAGCCTCTGCGGGCCTTGAACTCATGATCCCCTGCCTCAATCTCCTAAGTAATCTCAAAACCAGCCCCGGGCTACATGAGACACTGACGACATTAACAAACAACAAACAAACAAACAACAGTTTTAAGCATAAGTAATACCAGTGCTAGTCTAATAAGGAAGATGTGTCTGGAGCACCGGGAGAGATGCCTAGCAGTTAAGAACAGGGACTGCTCTTGCAGAGGACCCAGGTTCAGTTCCCAGCACCCACGACAGGTCATTCACACCTCTCTATAACTGCAGCTGCAGATGATCCAACGCCCTCTCCTGGCCTCCCCAGGCACCTGCACTCCTGCACACATCCCTTCCCGAGCACATTAAGAATAATAAAAAGTGAATCTTCGAGAAAACTGTATCTGGATAGATGCCCTTTTCTCCCTCAGTTTACTGTCCCCCCCATTTTCTCATTCCCACACATGTGTAGATGTTGTGTTAGGCTGCGTACAAAAGACAACACACGGCGTTAAAATGTTACTTGCTGGGAGAGTTTGTGCTTGCTGGCAATCCCAGTTCTCAGGAGGCAGAGTCTGACCTCGGCTTTCCTACACGCACCCAGATATTGTTTCAGAAGACTTACGCCTGGAGATGAGGTTCAGCATGTCCCAGGTCCGGAGTTAGGTCCCCAGCAGCAGAAACAACAAACCAAACAAACAGCCCGGAGAGGTGGTTCATGTGGTAGAGTGCCTGCCTAGCATGCCTGAAGCCTGGGTTCAATTCCCAGCACCGTAGCAAAGTGAGTGGTGGCTCACGTCTGCCTTCTCAGCACCACGGAACTCGCAGGAAAGAGAATCACAGAACTGGAAGTCAGGGCACACTCCTGTCCAGCCAGGAGACGGGGGACCCTGTCTCTGAAAAGGGACTAGAGAGATGGCTTAGCTTTTTTTTTTCTTTTTTCTTCTCTCTTTTTTTGTTTCCTGAGACAGGGTTTGTCTGTGGCTTTGGAGGCTGTCCTGGAACTAGCTCTTGTAGATCAGGCTGGTCTCGAACTCACAGAGATCTGCCTGCCTCTGCCTCCCGAGTGCTGGGATTAAAGGCTTGCGCCACTACCACCTGGCTGATGGGTAAGTTCTTAATAGTACTGACTGCTCTCTCTTTCAGAGGACCTGGGTTCAATTCCGAGAACCCCACATGGTGGCTCACAAACATCTGTGACTCCAGTTCCAGGGGACATGACGCCCCCTTTTGGCCTCCTTGGGAACTGCACTCAACTGGAGTATAGACATGTAGACAAAACAACCATATACATAAAATATGAATACATAATCTTAAAAAACATAAAACAATAAATAATTTAAAAGTAATTTGCTGCTTCTCCAGTCTGTTAAGCACTGCCTACTATGTGTCATGTCTGTTCCCAGAGAGAACCCTGTCAGGCTGGAGTTAACCACTTATTGAGGATAAGAGGCTTGAGTGAAACCCAGAGAGGTTTAGAGGCATGCCCTCAGCAACAGCACAGCTGGCAAACATGACAGCTGGCCTCAGTCTCAGCTGTCTGGTTCCAGACTCAGTCTTCCAGATGATGCAGTGGGCGTTCGAACCTGAGGGAGAGTGCGTGGCAGTGTGGCTTTGGGAGATCTTGGGGACCATTAGCCAGCTCTGTGGGACTGAACTTGGCTGCCCCCGAAATGAATTTGCTCAGATAAAAAACGGTGTGCTTGTCCAAATGAAGGACTGGGCAGCTGCCTCGGGGGTGTGCTTGGAAGATGTTGCCAGGTCCTTGGCTCCCAGAAATGTCTCCCCCCGGACACCTGTCACACGGCCTCAAATTCCACCAACATCAGAGTATGCCACTGAGCTTCCATTATGGAGTGTTTTGGGGACATGGTTTAAATGTGGACAGTATGAGGTCACAGCTACACCCTCCTTCAGAGCCCTTTCACAGTCAGGCACCTAGCTTTGGCGGGTGGACTCAGTGCAGGACACAGAGGATGTTGGGAAGCCAGCAGGCCCAGACAAAGCCTTGGATCCACAGTTGTGCTGGAGACAGCAACCTCCGTGTTCCCCAGAGACCCGGCCTCAGAAGGCCCCACCTGTCCCTCTGCCAATTGTGACTGGTGTGTTTTAGGCTAGACCCCTAAATAGCCATGATAGGAGAGGGGGAGCTGCCTGCTTGTCATAAGACTGTTGAATGTGCCAGCTGCCATTCGGCAAGAACCTCACGTAGTCACGTACCTCCTTAACTCCCTTTCCCATGATTACCCCACCTGCGGGATTATTCACTTAACATCTTTCCCGAAACCGACACACTTCAGAGGGAAACAAACATCTATTTTAAGTCTGGCCGTCTTGAATTTTCTTCACCTAGAAAGTGTGGTGAGCTTGAATTTCCTTCACCAAGAAGGTTCGGTAAGACCCTTTTTTTGTGTGTGTGTGTGTGCTTTTCTTTCACCTTTTCTTAGTGAAACAACAACAAAAATAAAAGGAACCCAAATGTCAATGACAAGTTTTATATTTTTTACTATTTTAACTTTTTACATCAACTTAATTGTTTACAGTGTGTGTGTGTGTGTGTGTGTGTGAGAGAGAGAGAGAGAAAGAGAGAAAGAGAGAGAGATGGTGCCCATGTGAATGTCAGAGGAATCCATTGGAATCAGTTGTTCCCTCCCACCATGTTGGTCTGAGGTGGAACTCAGGCTTGGTGACAAGTGCCTTTACCTGTTGAACCATCATACACACACACACACACACACACACACACACACACACACACACACACACTCGAGACAGGATCCCTCTACATAGCCCCAGCTAAGGCTCTCCTTGAACCTAGAGATCCATGTGCCTCTGCCCCTCCCCTCTCCCCAGAGCTGGGACTAAAGGCTTATGTTCCTTTTCTAAGCCCCATGCAGCCCTGTATGAATATATTTTGACACTTATCTTCCCCATTGTTTCTTCTCATCCTTCTCCCAACCAAGCAGTCCCCTGCCCAAGTGCCCTCCTTCCAAACTTTGTCTTATGTAACTTCAGAGGTCCAGGTGAGACATGATCCCAGTTTGGAGTTACGAGGAACACTAATTTTTATTCTCACAGCCGTTTGATCCAAAGATGCGCTGGGAACAGGTACAATGACCCTGCCAAGCTTTCAACAATAGACTAAATGGTATGTGGGCAACTGCTTCCTTTTTAAAAGTGCCATGCTCAATGTGGTGGTACATGTCTGTGTCTCAGAACTTTGGAGGCTGAGACAGGAGGGTTAAGTCGAAAGCCAGACTGGGCTGCATAGCAAGAGTGTATCTCCAACTACCAACACAGGATAAGGAATCTGCAGACACTGACTCTGCCTCCAGAGCCGTGGCTAGAGGCCACTTCTTATTCTTCTAAGGGTCTCCAGTTCCCCACCCTTGAAAGAAGAGCATAAGTCCTGAGGTTCCTACAAAGTCGGCAACTGGAGATGGAGTCAGAGCCTCACACATGCCAGGCTAGCACTCTGCTGCAGAGCTAAACCCTCAGCAATCCACTTACTGTTTATTTTGAGACAGTGTCCAATCTGATCTTGAACTTGCTCTATGGTCCAGGCAGGGTTAGGACTTGTGATCCTCCTGCCTCAGCCTCTCAAGTAGCTGGGACAACAGGCCTACAACACCAGCCTCACTGGACCCTTCTTCTGGAGTAGTGGACCAGAGATAGAGCTGTGGTTCCAGGCCTCAGAGTTTCTTCTCCCGTTGAGGTGAGAACCTGACCCAGAGTTGCCCGTTTTAAAGCTAATGTTTCAGTGGCATTCCTACATTCTCAGACAATGTAGCCACACCACCACCTAATTCCAACAAACCCATTCTCATTCCTCAAAACTTCACCTTCTCCAGCCCGTGGGGATCACAGACTGCTTTTTGCGTGGATTTATCTGTTTCAGATGGTTGGGATAGATGGAATTGTATACTGTGGTCCCACTGTGTGAGTGGTGTCTTTGATTTAGCACAAAACCTCTTTGAATTTTCTCTTTGTTGACACTTGTTCCGTTTTTTTGATGGCCAAGGCATGTTCTATGGTGTGGCTACTACATATTTTGTTTATCCATTTATTTGCTGTTTCCAGATTTTGACTGTTATCAATAAATCTGCTTATGAACATTCATGAAAAAATACTTTTTAAAAAAGTTTATACTACTATTTTATAATTTATTTTATTTTATGTGTATTGGTGTGAGGATGTTGGATCCACTGGAACTGGAGTTACAGACAGTTGTGAGCTGTCCTGTGGGTGCTGGGAACTGAATCCAGGCCCTCTGGAAGAGCAGTCAGTGCTCTAAACCACTGAGCCATCTCTCCAGCCATGGAAAAATTCTGATTTTGTCTCTTTTCTCCCTCTTCTCTCTCTATCTTTTTGATAGGATTTTTCTGTGTAGCTCAGGCTGTCTTTGAATTTATGTGCGTGAGCTAGTGTGTGTGTGTGCATGTGTGTATACATGGTGTGTATGGAGGTCAGAGGTTGACATTGGCAAGTCTTCCTCAATTGCTCTTTTTTTTGGACAGGGTTTCTCTGTGTTTCTCTGGCTGTCCTGGTACTTGATCTGTAGACCAGGCTGGCCTCAAACTCAGAGATCTGCCTGTCTCTGCATCCTGACTAAAGGCATGTACCACCACCACCAGGCTTGCTCTTTTTTTTTAACGTAAAAATAATTTTGATTATACTGCAAACACAACATTTCATCCTTGCCTTTCCTCCCTCCCAACCATATACCCCTCCTCACTCTCCTTCAAATTCATGCTCTCCTTTTTCACTAATTGCTATTACATGCATGCATAGGTATATACATATACATATCCATTTATAAATATAACCCACTCACTACATAGTGTGTAAACTTGTGTGTATGTCTTCAGGGATGATCATTTGTCCCTGGACAACCAGTTGGTGTATTCTTCCCCGGGGAACCTACCTACCTCTTCTGCTCCCAGCATTCCTTAGCTGCCTGTAGTTCTTTGTAAGGCTGTGGGCTCCTTTCTGTCCACTTGACATGTCCATTGTTCAGCTCACATTTGAGCCATCATGCTGGTGAGACTTGGGTGTAGCTTCTGACACTACTAGGAGACACAACCTAACAGCAAATGACACGATCTTGTGTCTCATGATTTTTTTCTTCCTGTTTTTTTTTTTCTTCTACAATGTTCCTTGAGCTTTAGATGCCAGAGTGCTTTGTAGATGGGACGGGGCTCTACAACCCTGCATTTTGATTGCTTGTGGGTTTCTGTTGTACCACTTCACGTTTTGAGACAGGGGTGTCTCACAGAATCTGGAGCTCACGATTTAAGCTGGATTGGCTGGTCAGGGAGCTCCAGGAACCCCTGTCTCCACCCGCATTCCCCATTACTTGGGTTACAGGTATAACCACAGCACCTGACTTTGTCCTAAGTCCTAAGGATTCAAACTCAAGTCCTCAGGATTGGGCACTTCCCCCGCTGCGAGTCCCAACTGATAGAAACCCAGGTTGTCACTACCGCACCTGCCTCCTGTCGGGCTTTTCATTTTTCCTGGGAAGATACTGAGTCCCCGGCTGATGGATCACATAGTAACTATGTTTAACTCGGTGACCATTGTCCCTGAAGGTCCTCCCACAAGTGTGGAGGTGTGTATATAGAAGGAGATGGCCCCAAGATTTCAATCAGAATCCCAGGAGGCTTATCAAAGGGCTGGGGATGTAGTCTGTTGCTGGAGTGCTTGTCTAGCATGAACGAGGTGTTAGGTTCCATCTCCAGCAACTCTAATCCCAGCACTTAAGAGGTGGAGGCAGAAGATCAGGAGTTTAACCCCTCTTCAGTACATAGTCTGAGGCCAGCCTGGGCTACATGAGACTCAGTCCCAAGAGAAGAAGGGACAGCAGAATGCTTAGCAACTCTCTCTCCTGGCTGGAGGGTCCTCTGATTCTTCAGCAGGCAGAAGCAGGCTATGCAGGATACAAGTAGGATTGCTTCTGTCCCCAGTGGTGGAGGCAGAGGAGAAATGGTTGGGGCCAGGCAGGGATTCCTGAGCAGAGGGACCCTGGTTGAGTCTTGAAGGTGGCCCGTGCTTCCCAGATTCTCTTGGCAGGGTTGGGCTGGCTGAGCCGCCTCTTCCCCTAGAAGCGCTCGTGCTTGGCAAGGCTTGCCTGGGGCCCCCACACCCTTTAGGCAGCAGATGCGCTTCATTGCTCTGTTTACTGCAAAAAGCGGTGGCCAGGGCCCAGGGCACGTCCAAGGATCACTCAGGGCGCAGGGAAAGCGGGGGAGTCTGCACACAACCCGCAGGGTCAGCCTCCACACAACCCAGGAGCAGGTGCTCTGCGAACTTCCCTCACAGGCCTGCCAAAACCGTCCACCCGCGAGGC